TATACACCGCCACTTGTGCCCGCCCGTTGTCGTGCCTTTGCCCCCGCTCGCCCGCGGCGCGCGCGTGTGTGCTTGTGTGTGTGTGTGTGTATGTGTGCGTGGGTGTGTGTGTGCGCGTGTGTTTGTGCGCATGTGTGTGTGTATGTGTGTGTGTGTGTGTGTGTATGTGTGTGTGTGTGTGTGTTTGTGCCCTCGTGTGTGTGTGTGTGTGTGTGTGTGTGTGTGCGCGCGCGTGCGCCGGGGAGGGGAGGGAGGACCCCTCCCCCACCAATCAATCAATCAATCAATCAATCAATCAATCAATCAGTAAAAAAAACAATCAATCAATGAAATTTATTTTTTTCTATTTTTTTAATTTTTAATGTCACACATAAAAGACCACCCCCCCAAATTTTTCATCTTTTTTTTTTTTTTGCACAGGCTGACAGTGGCCGACGTGCGCAGGCCGCGCGCGCGCGCCGTTTTCCCTCGCGTGCCTCTGCCTGGCTGTGGCGCAGTCGTAAAAAAACTCGGTCGCGCGGCCTAAGTGGCGGGCCCGTGGCCGGCCTCCTCGGCCGCGACCTAGTCGGAGGCGGCCGCGGCCCAAGGGGATACATAGTTGCCAGGTGCTGCAGTGGGTTGTCTTTCTGGTAGCAGAAAGTCGAATGCAGTCCTGGGCTTCCAACCAAGGTGTAGTTGGTTGGGAGTCATTCCCGTAGTACTGTGCACAACGTTTTTGTACAGGCTGGCGACGAGAGGAAGTTTCTCGTCCCAGTCATCCCGACTTGGCTTGATATAATGTGTAAGCAGGTGTTGTACTACTTGGTTCATCTGCTCTACTTGGCTCAGGGTGATTCCCTGATGTCATTTGCAGCTTGGTACCCATCTGCGCAACTGTCGCTTGCCACAATTCGCTGGTAAACCTTACATCCCTATCACTTACTATCGACATAGGTAGTTCAAAATCCCTAACCAGTTATGTAGGAACAGTTTGATGACATAGTCAGTTTTAGCAGTTTCTGGCATAGCGATAAGTCTCGCATACTTAGAAAAACGGTCTACTAGAACAAAGATGTGTCTCTTGCCTGTCCTGCTGGTCACAAGAGTATCCATGAAGTCCATGCATACACTTTGACCAGGACCTTCAGGAATCGGCAAGGGCTTGAGAAGCACAAGCGGAGCCTGAGTCCTAGGTTTGTCCTTTTGGCAAACCTGGCAGGTTTCGACGTACTTCTTCGCATCTTGCATCATAGTGGGCCACCAAAATTTCTGCACTAAGTTAGCTGAAGTCTTCTTATAGCCAAAATGACCAGTTGCATCATGACATTCCCCTAAAAATAAACTACGCAAAGACTCGCTATTAGGAACACACAGTCTTTCATTCCCTACTTTATCAAGAAACAACAATCCGTTGACCATCACAAACTCATCGGAGGTAGCTTTGTCCCTAGCCTCGAGTTTGCGAATGATCTCAGACAAAACTGAATCTTCTTGATAGGTTTCCACCAGTGATCGAGTGAGTTCGTCAGATATGCCAAACTCAGTCACTAACGTGCCCAGATAGTCTGCCCTTCCCGATAGCGCATCAGCCACTTTGTTATACTCTCCCTTGATGGGATGAAGTTGATAGTCATACATGTCTATCACTTGAATCCACTGTTTCAAGGCGTCTGAAAGTACTGGCCGTGTCTTAATCCAGCGCAAAGTCTCATGGTCAGATCTCACATAAAAGAATATATCGAGGAGATAATGTCTCCAGTCGACTAGCGCTCTATAAAGGGTGTAGAGCTCTCGCTGATACGTGGACCGTGCTAACTTCTGAGATGGCATCTTTTTGCTCATATACTCGACTGACCTGTCTTAGGAGAGGAAAAAGTTGAGGTCAGTCGAGTATATGAGCAAAAAGATGCGCTGACACCTATGCCGTATTGGCTGGCGTTTGTGGTCACAACAAAGGGTTGTCCAGGATCCGGAAATTTGAGAACTTCGTAGTGCGTCAACGCATACTTCAATTTCTTGAAGGCTGCCTCACACTCTTCAATCCACTCCCAAGGGGTGTCAAGTCGAGTTAGATCTGTGAATGGGAAAGTTATAGTACCATAGTTCTTAACAAACGGACGATAGTAGCCCAACATCCCCAAAAACGATCTCACCTCAGTGACAGTCTGAGGCCTGGGCTAGTCACGCATGCTGGCCACCTGAGCATCATCCGACCTCAACCCATCAGCGGAGATTTTATGTCCCAAGTACAAGATCTTGGTGCGACCGAACTCGCATTTTTCCAAGTTAATCTTGTACTGGTGCTGTCTTAGGAGACCTARCACTATTTTCAAGTGCTCAGCGTGCTCCTTTACAGTCCTACTAAAGAAATGAATATCGTTGAGGTACACGACGATAAACTTGTCTAGATACTCATGAAATATCCTATTCATGGCATGCTGGAATGTACCAGATGCATTGCATAGGCCAAAGGGCATCACCACAAACTCATATAGACCGTACCTGGTTTGAAATGCGGTTTTGTGTTGGTCCTCAGGTCTAATGGCAATTTGATGGTATCCGGACTTTAAATCTATCTTCGTAAAGTACCGGCATCCTTGCACTTTATCCAGTAGGTTGTCGATGCGGGGTAAAGGTTCTCCGTTCTTAACAGTAATGGGATTGAGGTCCTTATAGTCAATGCACATCCTCAATGTACCTCCCTTCTTAGGAACAAATAGTACTGGCGCACCGTAAGGGGAGGTACTAGGCCTAATCCATCCCTTTTCTGTGAGCTCCTTGAGCTGGCGGCAGAGCTCATCCAACTCCACACGAGACATCCTATAGATTCGTCCTCTAGACCTATGTATCCCTAGCGGCCGCGGTCAACGCGGCCTCGACCGCGGGCCACGGCCGTGGCCGCGGGCCTACGGTCATGACCGCGGGTCATCGCGGGCCGCCGCGGTCGATGGGAGAGGGGTATGGGGGAACAGGGACCGCATCCCGTTGGCGGGGGGGGAGTTCCAGCCCCCTGCAGTGAAAAAAACAAAAAATAAGTGCAAAGTGGGAGGGTGGTTTTGGAGGGTGCAGAGGGGATTAAAAAAAAATCCGCGACCCCCCAAAACCAAGTTTCACCTGCGCCAGGGTGTTGGCAGGGGGGTGCACTTCCACCGAAAACAAAGAATTTTTTTTTTCTTGCAGTCTGGACTTCATTTGTGGAGTCTTTTTCAAAAATATGTTTTCAAGCCTTCAAGGGGCCATTGGGGGAGGGGATTCTGTGGAGGGTGGGTTGGGGCCCTTGGGGTTGGTGTTGGGGTTGTCAAAGGGTGTCATCGGGTGCGAGGGTCCATTGTAAGCACCATCAAGCAGTGTCACACAACGTCACACACAATGTCACACACCACCATCAAGCACCATACAATGGCATACAAGAGCATGTTGGGTAGGTCGAGGGAGAGGGTTTCATGAGCACATAGACGAGAGATAAGTAGAATCAAGTGCCCTGGCAAGGCGTGCATGTGTCAATACACCAAAAATACCAAGTCTCGTAAATACATATAGCATCACATCCCCCCTCAAAATGCATCCAACAAACAAAATAACTACCTGACTGCCACGTCCATGTCGATAAAGACCTGCTGACTGTACGAACCCGTGATAAAATACAACATGCCTGCTCCACCAGCACCGGACAGGTTGGTGGCATATCAGCTACAGATAAAAGACCAAAAAAAAAACCATATGGACTCATGCACCTACGACTCATGCACCTACCTAAGATACAA